ACCTACCATAAAATTCTATAAATCCTAATTAGCATATAACCCAAGTCAATTTCTGAATCGGTTGCCGATAAGGCTTTCAATTCGCAATTTAAAATCAAAACACAAACAGATCTTCTTATATCAAATAGGTAAGAATGCAATTAAAATAACATACTCATGTAATCAATTTAGGATTTCATGTTAATCAATTACTTATCACGCTTAATCATGAATTAACGCTAATCAGAGGTGAGGGTTGTCACAATATCCAATAAAGATGTTTAGGCCATTTTTCAGAAATAATTTCCCAAAAATAAGTTATAAATAATTCTGTAAAATTTTCAAAAATTTTATGACACAGATTTATTACATTTTCTTAAATTAATTCCATACTTAAATTCATAGATCAACTCCATAATCTAAAATTTTATCATGAAACTAGATTTCTCAAATTTCATCTTTTAGTTAGAAATTACCAGATTTGGCTTAATATAGAATTTTTTATATAAATTTTCAAACATACAGTAAAATTTGTCTTATAGTTTCAGATTTAATTAAAATTTTGTATAAATTCTTACAAAGCTCAATAATTGTTTCCAAAATTCCTAGATGAACTAGACATCATTCTCAACAACTTTGTAAAAGAAATCATCTTCAAATTTTGAATATAAAATTGTCTAAAAATTTGTACAAATTTTCTAACAAATTCAAGGACCAAATAAAATCTTCAATCCTCTCTTTAATGGTATAAACTACATATACAAACCTATTTACACAATAATACCATGACTTTAAGACTATTAATATCTTCAAATATTTGATATACACATCACAAAATTTATATACATACATATATATATATATATATATAAATTTCTATCTATAAGTTAGTCATTTTATCATATGAATATAATATGAAATTTTCAACAATTAAAAAAAAATGAGAGGGTTGAGAGGGTTTTCTTACTTAGTTGTAAGATTGAAATGGGGTAGTGAAATGGTAGGAAAATATGCAACCTTCTTAACCTCCTCTTCCTCCTCTTGTTAACTCACTTCACTTCGCATATTTTCTTTTCTCGGGTTTCCTTTACATTCTCTAATCAAAGAGTATCATGCATATATATATATATATATATATAAACATGCTAAGGCTGAGGATTTCCCCTCTATCTCTCTCTCTCTCTTCTCATCATTCTCTGGTCACTCCGTATCTTCTAAATCCAAGAAGTATGATGAGGTGAGGGTTCCTACATTTACATGCAAACAAACAGGTGGCATTATTCTGCCACCGAGAATTCGATTTAGATTTCTTTTTTCTTTTTTTTTTTGTGTGTGTGTGTGTGTGTGCGCGCGCGTGTGTTTTTGTATGGGTTTCTCAAAATTGATGCACTAAGATTTTTAACTAAGGTATTTAGTAAGAATAATTATCATGTTCAATCCTAATTAAAATAATTTATAAACAATAAATATTGAATACCAACAAAATTATTATTCTTAATAATGTCTTTGTTAGTGATTTAATTAGATTAATTTATAACTACCTTATACACTAATATATTTCAGACAAACTCCAAATAAAATTAATTAATTTATTTATTTATTTATTTATTTATTTTTATTTTTAGAATAATTAAATGCGGATTATCAAAGTCACAAAGCTCCTTTCTCTCTCCTCCTCCAGTACAACCGTCTCAAACCTACACCCCTCATTCTCCTTGTTCTTCTTCTTCTTCTTCACATGGGTTACGGCGGTGATGGCAACAATGGCTGGAAAAGCGGCGCAAACCGTAGACATAGGGTTTGCAGGAGTCTTGCAGAAGCAGCAAAAAAGAAGGAGGCTCGCAGTGAGGGTGATGCTACGATGATGGCGTTGGTCGAATCTGATGATGGCGGGTGTCAGCCTAAGTGGAGTGGAGTAGATGTGAAGGTGGAAATGGATATGGGATTGGGGTTAGGGTTGAAAGGATAGAGATAGGGTAAAAAATGGAAATTAATGTTAGGGCAAAATCGTAATAAAAAAAATAAAAGAGATAAGGGTTCAAAGAAAAAGGGTAATTCTACTTACACCACATATTTATCTCTTTACACACTATTTCTTATTACACTACCTTTTATCTCATTACATTATTCATAATTCCCAATATATCCCCATCCCTACCAATCCATCCTCTCTTTACACTCATTCACATTTAAAACCCTAATTTCATCCGACCACCTCCTACCACTATCTCCTTCACCTTCACCACCACTGCCAGTTATCTTTCACCGGCACTCAGTCCCACCATCGGCCAACCGTCCTCTACCTCCGACAACTCTAGTCCACCCCTCATCTTTCTTACCGTCATCCTTCTTCCTCTCCAAAACTGCCATCCAGCCTTTCTGCCACCTGCGTACCACCCCTCTTATTATACGAATTGTGGCCCCACCATCTCTTCTTCTTCTTTGACAAACCCTAGATCTGAAACTTCTCTCTCTCTCTCTCTCTCTGGCGTGTACGATGGCAAAGGGTATGAGGGATTCGTGGGGTGGCTCAAGACAAAGACGAGTCATTGCTGGAAGGAGAATAGTGACAAAGAATAAGGCTGGAAGGAGAGATGCGATGGTGAAGAAAGATGGTAGATGGAAAGTCATAATAACGGAGGACGTCTGGAAAGGTGATCACAACGGGAGAAGAGGGGTCGAGGTGGTCAGAAATGGCGGTTGTGAGGGAAGTCGGAAGGAGGTGGTGGTGGAGGAGGACGCTGGTGAGGGAGGAGTTGCGGGTCAATTGTAGAAGATGGGCAAACGATGGGGGAGGACTGTCGAAGGTGAGAGAAGAGTATAGAAATGAGAGTGCAGGGTGGTGTGTGGGGTGGGAAATTGTTGGTTCAATTTTTAGGGTTTAGGGATCAACTGGTAATTTTACACAAAAGGATAATATTGTGATAAAATAAAAAATAAAAAATTGAAGGGTGTAATAAATTCTTTTTGTGGTGTAAGTAGAATCACTCAAGAAAAAAGTTAAGGGCATTTAGCAGCTCTTTTTAAAAACAAAATATTAGTAGTAAAAGATGAGATTGAATCTTGAACCAAATGATGACCTTAACCCTAAACTCGTTCTTCACAAGAAGTCTCATCAAAAAACTATAGGAGAAATTACTCATTAGTGGTAATATCAAAACTTTATTATAGATTCATGAAAAAAAAATATATTTTTAATTATCAATATTTATAATGTTTACCATTTATTTGTAATTAATTTTCAAAATTATCATTGAATTGAAATTTCTCCTAAACTATATGGAAGACCCTCTATGTTATGTATCTCTCTATCTTTAATCTTTTATTAAATTTAAATTTAATAAAAAATTTTGGTAAAAGTTAAAAAAATGTTTTTGAGATGTGTTAATATTTTAAAAAAATTTGATGAAAAATGTAATTATCTAAAATCATCTCCAACCATTTATCAACGTTTGCATCTAATTTGGTTCTAAATTTGAGTAAAAATAACCGTTTCATCAAAAAATTAAAAATTCCCTTTTTATTCCAAATTTTTTTAATCAAATTTGATAGATAAAAGATCTAATTCTTTATTTTTAAAATTTTCATCAAATTCAAACTTAATGAAAGGTTTGATGAGTTTTCAATTTAATGAAAAAATTACTCTTTCTTGATTTGATTTGATGAAAAGACCGAAAATGTTTTTTGATTATTTTTTTACCAAATTTAAATTTGATAAAAAAAAATGAAAGATTGTCAGTTATATTAAATATAATTTTTTTTTAATCTCAATTGTTAAACAAATTTAATGAAAAAAAAAAAGAGTTGAAAGGTAGAGCATCTCAAACATTGTATATATATATATATATTTCAAATTTGGATAAAAATTGTATCTAATATCACGCATTCTAACGAAAGGTTTTAAATTTTCAACAAAATACCGGTCAACTAGGCAGATGACCGGGAGGATGTCCAGTCAGTTGATCGGTCAATATAATTTTTTCACAAATTTTTGTAAGGTGGTGGTCATGCGAAGAACAACCGACCAGTCGTCCAATGATGAAAATGATCTCTTGCTCCACTGACTATGAATAGTAAAATAATGAATAGTTCTTGCCATCATAAATTTGATAAAAAAATTTATCATATGCTCAATTAAATACTCATCTAATAAAATAATTGAAGCAACAAAAAAATACGTTTTTTCATCAAATTCAAATTTGATTCGAGATGGTTTTAGAGCATCTATAATGAGATAGCTAAAAAGGTGTGTTAAAGTGTTATATGACAAAAAGTAATAAAAGTGAAACCCAAAAATATATGTTAAGATATGTTAAAAGTTTGTTAATTTTAAAGAGTGAATGGTAGTTCAATGAATGTGTTAAGGTTTGTGTTAAGAATATATATATATAAACAATAAATAAAATAAATAAAAATTGAAAAGTGCAATGGCCCCCACCCCACTGCACTGTCAGGGCCCCTCTCTCTATCTCTTCTGTTTTCTCTCTGTTTCTCCCTCCCTTGCTTGTTAACTTGCCTGTTGTAACCCAAGGGTGGTTGGCAACTTGGCAAAGGCCTAGGAATTAAGCCCCTAGGTCCCGAGTTCAAAACCTCCTTGGACCAATTCCTTGGGCTTAACACAGTTGATTAGGACGTTAGTCTCAAGCAGTTTCATTGCATTTGGTGTGGGTTCAATACTCTGACTTAAGAAGAATTTATCTTGGAAGGTCGAGACAAGTTCTCAGATTATTATTTTTTAACTCAAAATGGACAACAAGATACTCTTGTAAAGTCCTGACTTAAGAAGAACTTGTTTTGAAAGGTCGGAACAAGTTCTCAAATTATTATTTTTTAACTCAGAATGGACAACAATACACTCTGGTAATCTTTACAAGAAGCACTGTTTTGAACCTACAAGCTACTGAAAGGATTTTTCTTGTAACCAAAAAAAAAAAAACTTGCTCACTACAGTTAACACATAACTTTTGACCAATAATAAGGTCTTAGCAATTTCATTATAAAGACAAAAGTGAAAATGGCTGGCTAAAATATAACATCAGACACCAACTTTCTCACTAACCTATCCACGGCAGATGCTCTTATAACCAAGTTCCTAGTCATCATCGTCTGCCTTCCTATGTAAGCACACAGACAGAGCAAACAAAAATGGATCAATTACTACCAGTCGAAATTCTCATCGACATACTCTCAAGCCTCCCCATCAAATCTCTGATTCAATGCAGGTGCGTATGCAAACCCTGGCTCCATTCAACCCTACACCCTCTAGTCTCACACACCCACCTCTCTCAACGATTACACTTTGACCAATGTACATTTCTCAGAACCCAACAACGATTTCAACGAGTTTCGATTAGTTGGGTCTTGTAATGGCTTGCTCTGTTTGGTTCCTCACATGCTTAGTTATGTAATCTATGTATGTAACCCTCTTACTTGAGAGTATATGTATATTAAGCTTCCAGACCCAATTAGTCCCTCTCAGAGGCATTATGAGAGGGTAATAGGATTTGGGTTTAGCCCCAAAACCAATGAGTACAAGGTTGTATAGATTGATTGTTTATAGTTCAATTAGTATTCGAATTGGGTTTTCGGAGGTGTTTGTGTTCACTCTAGGTGATGAATCTTGGAGAGTAATAGGAGATGTGCCTTATGGTTGTCTTCATTGGGTGGGTATAACTCGTGCCGAGCTCATTGTTTTGGTTGATGTTGTTGATCAAGTGTTCAGAGTTATTCCTCATCCGGAATGTGGACCTGAGGTAGGTTGTTACTATTTGGGAGTGTTGAGTGGGTGTCTTTCATTCACATTCTTCGGTTAGTGATCGTGTTGAGATATGGGTTATGAAGGATTACGGTGTTATGGAGTCGTGGACTAATTGTTTCGCCTTAAATTTTAATGAGGTTGGGTTGAGTATCAGGATCAGTTGAACTGTATGCTTTCGAAGAGATGGCAAACTTTTGTTGTTATGGTAATCAAGCTCTACTTTTGTATGATCCCCGAACTTCAAGGTTGAGACGATTTGTATTGACAGGCTTCCTCATTGGTTTGAAGCGGTTACTCAGGTGGCGAGCCTTGTTTCGCCTTTAGGCTGTTTAAGAAGAGATAGACAACTTTGAAACACAAGTGGAATGGGATAGTGAAGATTTAAGAAAAGGAGAAAATAAGAAGGTTGGATCTTGTGAGGAAGAAGAAGCACCCAATGAGCATCATTATGTTATTCTCCTTGAAGAAGGCATACTCATATTGTCTGAACATAACTATGGTAAAATCAAGTTCTAAGTAGTCTTGTAAACTAGTGGCATAACAGCCAAGAGCTCAAGGATGTTTATGTTAATGTCCTGAAAATGAGTGTGCTAACAGGGTCCTCAATGGGCAATTGTGTTTTTGTTTTCCTGTCTTTATGAAAGTGGAGAAAGAAAATTCGGAATAAGAAAGGATATTTAGCAGCATTTACATGAATAATTGATGTCTCTGTGGAATGAATCATTTGAACCTGTGATTGTGTTATCTGTGCTTTGTATCTTCGTATTGGCTGATAGGCTGTCTGTTACAAAGTTTGATCATATATTTAGCCCGCGCACTACCATTGTACATTGATGGATATTAGGCACATAAATGAAACTTACTTTGCTTGCTATAATTTTTAGAGTTTGCTGTTATTAATGAGGAAACATGGCTTAGAAACACATTTAGCATAGAATGACCATGAGTAGGAATGCAGGTTATTATGTGAATATCATGACCAAGCACAAGAAACAAAGCAAAGCAGATCAACCTATCTGGAATTTCTTATTGCTTGTTTCATGTAACTCATATTTGTGTTTCCCTCTAGATGTTTGAGCCAATGAATAAGAATGCATGCACCTACTTGACTATCAATCACTGATTTGAATGGGTGCAAAATCAAGAAAACAAAAAGCTGGAAACACAATTGTGCATGATTCTGCTTCTGTGCAAGGGTGTGTATCATTTTCATGTCAACTTGAATTCATTATAAGTGGACACAACATGCCCTTTCCAAAACAGAAACTCACGGGATAAAGGCTGAGGATTTGATTGGAAGTCTTATAAGCTGGCCATATCCACAAATTTGATGAACTAGGAAGGTGTGCTCCTGACGAATGAGCTTTTAGGCGGTGGTTTTTGTTCTGTGAGAATGTAATCTGATGGTTATTGGACTTACCCTTGCATTTTGTTAACCATGCAATTGACCAGGAAAACCGGCTTCCTTTAATAAGAAGGTATTATGGTCCCTATTTGCGAGGAGCTAGAGGTGTTTCTCATGAAGAAGCTGCAGATTCAGCCCTGTTTGACAAGCTAGAGGTTGTCTTCTTGAGAGAAAGCCAACATGTTGGTAGTAAGTTGATAATATCCTTTCCAATCTTTTTGCTTTCTAATCATCTTTAGAGTAAGACTTTTAATTGCTTAAATGATGCAGAAGTGACTGCATTTCCAAGTTGTTTTTGCTTTATTTTTCTTTACTTTTTGTTTTCATTCTCTCAAGTGAAGTTGATGTAAGTTGCTTTTTGAAACAATTATCAAATAAATTAATATGTTTTGGTAAGAAGAGAATTGTTAAGGACTGCAGCTTCACGCCTGTTGGAATCAGACTGCTCGTTGTCATTGAGAAAGCCTCATCCGAAATTGCAATTTAGTTTCATTTGTTACTTCAACAGATCCATTCACTGATGCTGCAAGTTATACATTGATTGATTGAGAGAGAGAAAAAAAAAAAAAATTAATAAAAAAAAAAAAAAAAAAAAAAAAAAAAAGGAAGAAGAGGAAGAAGTGAACTGAGCTGATATGTATATGATTTGGTTCCACGTCTAAAACTTGAAATCAAAGTAATGTATAATAACTGACTTATTTTTTTTTTCATCTTTCTAATAATTCATATAAAAAAAGGAATTTCAATGGAAAAGGGGCACTAAAGGCTATAATGAAATACTATCATCTCCTCTTCACTTATTTGTAACTGCTCATCATTCAATACAAAACATAGACCTTCAATAGAATCAACACAAGTATATATCAGCGGGGAAAAGTTGTCAAATCTTATGACCTTTGAAACAAAGCACAGCATAAAAATCCTAATGAATAATTCTATTCCTATAGTGCCATGATCACACTACGTTTTCAGGCCACTGAAATGTTTTGTTCACTTACAACCTAATAGCATAACAGTTATGCCTTGTAAAAATATTAGTATGGTGGCATAAAATGTAAAAGAAAGTATTTCTCAACCTTCAGCCTACACATCACAACCATTACCTAAATTTAGGTTTGAATGCACTGTAAGTTTAAAATCTTCATCCCTAGATCAAATGTAACGGCGATTTTGAAGCAGTTGGCCTCTTGCACTGCAAGATGAAGACTTCATAAGCTGAAGAGCTCCAGTTCTTTATAGTTATACTTGTGGCATTCTTCATTTCACTTTTATTGGCAAATGGCAATAGGAATCAGAAGTTCAAGTTCATATTGGAGGTGTGAAAGTTTCATGCCATAGTAAATTTTGATACAATGATCAGAACTGTTGTAAATCTAAGATTCGAATCTTTTTGACAAGATTTGGAAAACATTGACCTTTACGTTGCTTCTTGGTCATCAAATTTGCAGGAAATGAGCTTATTGTTTCCAAAATGGAATCAAAAACTCAATTTAAATGAAAGATGCTTACTGGGGGAAGGGAAATATTGATAACCTTGTTGAGTTTCAACAGCTTAAATGAACTAGAAAGCTGCAGGGGAGTTATTAATTATTTGGAATCACATAGAAGATGATCTCATGAATAATGTGCCACAAAGTAGTCTTGCTTAAACTATTTTTATCTTGCCTTTTCGTGTTTTTGATTGGAGCAGTGGTGGATACGGTTTTATCCATTCAAATCCTTAAGATTAAATGGAAGACAGAAATTCTTAGATTCAATCCTGATCAGTTGTAGGCATATGTCCTTGTTTCCATGTGGTCATTATCTGGTTTGAATTTGATTCCTCCATCAACAGAAGATAAGCTAATGTGGCAAGCAATAGCCAAATATTTCAACAAGAAAGAGAGTGGGCGCAGGAATGATCATCAACCTTTGAACAAACATTGGGCAAATAATTGAAAACAGGGAAAAGTTAACATACAGCTTTAGTATTTATCAAGACTTCTGATATATTGGTGTGTCAATTCCTTGAGTGGACATTTATTAGGGTCAATTCTTCAATTAGTGGAGCTATTAGGTCAAACACCAATCTCGACTTTGACTGGGCTTAAAACCGTAAATTCAAAAGCCTTCACTCTTAAGGTAATCTGTCTTCAAGAGTGAAGAGTGGTGAATACTGAAAGACTTTCATTCAATCCCTTTCTCCATCCACTCAATATTAGATTTGGACTCATTTGAAGAGTTGAAAGTGCTTCCAGCAAGGAAATCATGTTTCAGGTTAAATTTCAATGGTCAAGTTATAAAGTTTATATGAACAAATATAAATAAAATATTGATGATTTTTTTATTGTTTTACACTCTTATCTGCACTTCATGGACTAGTAATTATGATCTGCTTGGAAAAATAATATATTTCTCTTGCATATATGTTACTTTTTATTCAGGTTTCGAAAGTGGAATTCCAAAAGAAATCATAGCTTGCACCAACGTTAATATTATCAAGCTTTTATTTTGTTGTGTTCTTTGCCAAGCATGCTTAGTCAGTATCAAAACTCAATTATTTCCTTCCTTCATTGATAATCTACTTTATTCCTTCTGTCATTTTCAGCTTGTATGAAAAGATTGTGAAGGGAATCAGAGTTTAGCACTTAAACAATCTCCTTTATTAAGAAAGAGATAATGATAGGACTTCCATAAAGGTACTTTAGTTGAACTTTATTTTTTGTGTGATTATTGTTGGGTCTTGCTTTTCCAGTTACTTCCACTGTTAATATTGGCTAAAGTTTTGTTTTTCCGTAATCATTTGATGGCCAAGAAGATAAATGAAAGAAAAGATGAAATTGGAAATTTACAATGGTTTCTCAACAATTATAGAAGAATACAATTATAGAAGAATTCTATTATTCTTTTTTTATTCAGGGGAAATAATCATTTCGAGAGAAGTTGTATATAATATTTGTAAAATGACTGCAAAAACACCCAAAACATGCATTAGTTTCTTCAATTGTCATATTCTTTTATTAGTTTTTGTTTTTCTTTAATTATAAATGTTTTAATTACTCATTTTAAGGAAGGACTGTAGATTGTATTAGTGGACATGATGACAATTAATTGTCATACAAATCACAGGACACCCTACTTTCTTCTTGGATTACAGAACAGGATGCCATGACAGGGCACTAATATTCTTTAGTCCAAAAAAGCAAAAGATTTGGGTTGTGTTTGGTTAACACTTTAGAAGTACAAATTACTTTTTTGTATACATTCAAAACGCCATTAAAACAGTCTCTGACTAGATCACTATCTTGTCCCTTTCTTTTTTATAATTGACTACATACTCCTAAGGCCAATCATGATATAAAATTGAGCAGCAAAACGATACTTTCGTTTCGTATGCCAACATTGTTTTACTTTTTTATTTTGTAAACAATGTTTGGTTCCAAAACCTGCTGCAAACTTGATTTGCTTAAAACTATGGTTTCATGCAACATGAGTATTAGATGGAAATGTACCACCTGTACCAACATAGTTCTCTCAATTGTTTGGTTATTGTGAACGAAGATGCGTTGAGACCAGCACATATCAAAATTGTTTATATATATCAGAACACTCTGAAATTATTAGAGAAAATCATATGAAAAGCATTACGTTTGGAAAAAAATTGGATCACTGTGGAGAATTTATTTATTAGCTAAATTGTACAGTAATTTACTTTTGCTCTCTCTCCCCTGCAGTCGCAGATTTATTAGGGTTCCTTCAATTTGTAATTTTTTTTAAAAATTATTATAGCTGGTAAAATTGGAACTTACACAATTCACTGAATTAGAAGCCTTTGCACAATTCACTTCCAATGTCAATAAAGCTATGCAGAATCAATTGACAAGAGGTCAATAATTATGTGAATTGCTCAACAATCCCAATCAGCTTATCTTACGGTGGAAGAACAGATAATGACTATTTATACCGGAACTAGTAAAATTGGAACGTACACAATTCATTGAATTAGAAGCCTTTGCACAATTCACTTCCAATCTTAATAAAGCTATGCAGAATCAATTGACAAGAGGTCAACAATTATGTGAATTGCTCAACAATCCCAATCAGCTCATCTTACGATGGAAGAACAGATAATGACTATTTATACCGGAACAAATGGTTATCTTGATTCACTAGAAGTTGGACAGATAAGTAATTTTCTTGTTGAGTTACATACTTATATTGTCATCCATCATGTGCCCTTCCTCACCCACCCAACCTCACCCCTATCAGTTCAGTCAAGTCTAAGTCATGACTCACTTTTCAACTTCCATGATTTCACGAGGTCACTGTCCAGGACCAGTGTGACTGTGCAACGTAGAAAGGCATTCTTGGTGTTCTCTCTCTACGGTCCGTATTCTTCCACAATTCTCTCTTTGGCTTTCTTTACTTGTCTATTTCAAATAATAAATTGGGAATGGGTGCTATTGCCTAGTAGCTAGGGCTTTTGTATATTGCATTTAACTTGATTATTCTGATTAAATGACAATACAGACAAACATTGGAGAAAGACATATTGGTTCAATTGGGGGCTCTCGTTGTCTCTCACACTGTACTGCACAACACGCATTTACAAATATCCCCCTTTCTTATCCTTGATATTTTTCACTCGAATAAAAATTAGGGATATTGATTTGTGCTAAAAATAACGTGTTTTGATTTGCTTCTAGCCTCTCCTCGGCATACCTATGACAATGAGGTATGAAGAGACCTTACGGAGTAAGCTATGGTCGAGCAAGCAAGCTTGGCTCAGTCGAGTAGTGCAATGGGCCATGTATGGAGCTTTCCATACTCGTTCTATTAGTGCTCCGGCTCATCACTAGTGCACAGAGCGCGCTAATGGGCCAAGGAACCATACTTGATAGTCTATATGCCCCCATGTAGGCTAGGTATATGACCCTAACTAGTTAGCTGGGGGACATTGTGGTGTCTTGGGAGGATTGCCACATGGAGATGATGATGTCGAGGTGGCGATGATGTGTTGCATGTAGAGCTAGGCCGTAGCGAGGTCGGTATGTTTATCCACTTTGATCTTTGTGCTATTTGCAAAACTTCAACCACCTTTTTAAAAGGATGCTTCTTTGATGGTGTTGAGAAAGCTATCACTTATCACTAAAATGTGGGGGAGAGTTGACAAAACAGCAGTAAATCAATCGGTTTCTTTTTGAAAATTCATGGATGGCATTCCCCAACTATAGCACACATTAGTTCCCATTAGGACAAAACCACACAAAGTTTGAGTGGTTATCTATTCTACACGTTCCATTTTTCCTTCTAATATGGACATAAGCCCAAGCACATGATTGCACTTTTCAGGCTCTTATCTCACTGAAAAAACACTTATCTATTCCATTGGATCCCTCTTGTGTTACCAATATTTCATGAATTTTCTTTTCTCTAAAAATATTGAATTCACGAGGCCATGTTATGGGTTGCTGAGTGTTTCAGAGAAGGGTTGGTTACAGAGTGTTTACAGAGTGTTTCAAGATTTGCAGCTCTTAGCAACACGCTCTCAGAGAACGAAGAGGTTTGTTATGCTTCCAAGCCTCAGCCTCCGCTTCGGTTTATAAAGACCATGATGAAGAGGCAGACACGCGCATCATGCGCCTCTCGGCGCTCGCCGACAACATGGGCACGCCTTTTGATGGCACGCCTTTTTATGAATTGGGCACGCCTTTTGATGGCACGCCTTTTGAAAGATTGTCCACACCTTTTGAGGGTGCGACTTTTTGGGGGTCCGACAAGACTTTGTAAACTGTCCCGACATTGATTCCGGTTAACTCCTTCATGGGTCCGACAAGACTCTGTAAACTGTCCCGACATTGATTTTGGTTAGCTCCTTCATGGGTCCGACAAGACTCTGTAAACTGTCCCGACATTGATTCCGGTTAGTTTCTACAAGGGTCCAGCAAGACTCCGTAAACTGTCACAACAACTGTCACGACATTGTCTGCTACAACGGTCCGACATGACCCCATAAACTGTCTTCTACATCGGTCTGCCATAACTATACAGTCTTCTACAACGGTCTGACACAACATACAGTGTCTCCTATCCATTTTTTATTTTTCAGATTATTTTCTTGTTTTGTTACTCTCTCCAAACTCAAGTTGGTTAGTTCCCATCCCCCTTGAGTTTGCGGGGGGCTGTTAAAACATACCACCACCTACTACACACCTATCACTACCACCTACTACCACCTACTCCACTACATCTCCTATATAAGGAGCCCCTCACCATTTGTAATATATAATATATACAACAATCAATAATACATACAATTTATTCTCTCTCTATCAATTTATTTTTTACACTCTCAATTGTTTGGTTATTGTGAACGAAGATGCGTTGAGACCAGCACATATCAAAATTGTTTATATATATCAGAACACTCTGAAATTATTAGAGAAAATCATATGAAAAGCATTACGTTTGGAAAAAAAATTGGATCACTGTGGAGAATTTATTTATTAGCTAAATTGTACAGTAATTTACTTTTGCTCTCTCTCCCCTGCAGTTGCAGATTTATTAGGGTTCCTTCAATTTGTAATTTTTTTTAAAAATTATTATAGCTGGTAAAATTGGAACTTACACAATTCACTGAATTAGAAGCCTTTGCACAATTCACTTCCAATCTCAATAAAGCTATGCAGAATCAATTGACAAGAGGTCAATAATTATGTGAACTACTCAACAATCCCAATCAGCTCATCTTATGGTGGAAGAACAGATAATGACTATTTATACCGGAACTAGTAAAATTGGAACTTACACAATTCATTGAATTAGAAGCCTTTGCACAATTCACTTCCAATCTTAATAAAGCTATGCAGAATCAATTGACAAGAGGTCAACAATTATGTGAATTGCTCAACAATCCCAATCAGCTCATCTTACGGTGGAAGAACAGATAATGACTATTTATACCGGAACAAATGGTTATCTTGATTCACTAGAAGTTGGACAGATAAGTAATTTTGTTGTTGAGTTACATACTTATATTGTCATCCATCATGTGCCCTTCCTCACCCACCCAACCTCACCCCTATCAGTTCACTCAAGTCTAAGTCATGACTCACTTTTCAACTTCCATGATTTCACGAGGTCACTGTCCAGGACCAGTGTGACTGTGCAACGTAGAAAGGCAATCTTGGTGTTCTCTCTCTACGGTCCGTATTCTTCCACAATTCTCTCTTTGGCTTTCTTTACTTGTCTATCTCAAATAATAAATTGGGAATGGGTGCTATTGCCTAGTAGCTAGGGCTTTTGCATATTGCATTTAACTTGATTATTCTGATTAAATGACAATACAGACAAACATTGGAGAAAGACATTTTGGTTCAATTGGGGGCTCTCGTTGTCTCTCACACTGTACTGCACAACACGCATTTACAAATATCCCCCTTTCTTATCCTTGATATTTTTCACTCGAATAAAAATTAGGGATATTGATTTGTGCTAAAAATAACATGTTTTGATTTGCTTCTAGTCTCTCCTCGGCATACCTATGAGAATGAGGTATGAAGAGACCCTACGGAGTAAGCTATGGTCGAGCAAGCAAGCTTGGCTCAGTCGAGTAGTGCAATGGGCCATGTATGGAGCTTTCCATACTCATTCTATTAGTGCTCCGGCTCATCACTAGTGCACAGAGCGCGCTAATGGGCCAAGGAACCATACTTGATAGTCTATATGCCCCCATGTAGGCTAGGTATATGACCCTAACTAGTTAGCTGGGGGACATTGTGGTGTCTTGGGAGGATTGCCACATGGAGATGATGATGTTGAGGTGGCGATGATTTGTTGCACGTAGAGCTAGGCCGTAGCGAGGTCGGTATGTTTATCCACTTTGATCTTTGTGCTATTTGCAAAACTTCAACCACCTTTTTAAAAGGATGCTTCTTTGATGGTGTTGAGAAAGCTATCACTTATCACTAAAATGTGGGGGAGAGTTGACAAAACAGCAGTAAATCAATCGGTTTCTTTTTGAAAATTCATGGATGGCATTCCCCAACTATAGCACACATTAGTTCCCATTAGGACAAAACCACACAAAGTTTGAGTGGTTATCTATTCTACACGTTCCATTTTTCCTTCTAATATGGACATAAGCCCAAGCACATGATTGCACTTTTCAGGCTCTTATCTCACTGAAAAAACACTTATCTATTCCATTGGATCCCTCTTGTGTTACCAATATTTCATGAATTTTCTTTTCTCTAAAAATATTGAATTCCTAATGAACATATCCAATATGGTTTTGTTATAGGATTTAGTGTATTGGCAATTTTTGTAGACAACAGGGTGCTAGATGTCTAGTCAGGTTTAAAGTTGAGTGTGTTCAAGATTGAAAATGTTTAGAGACAATACAAAGCGTGCTCTGATCCAATATTCGGCATAACTATATGAACATACTACGCAAGTCTTGGACACGAGTTCTTTTTATATCACAAATTTGGCTTAAAATGTCATGTTCGCTTTGTAATTTAAAATAGTTTAAAACATGGTTATTTGGGCAAGACTATTATGTCTGGCTTGAAGCATGCTCGAATGGGGTGGTGCTAGAGAGGCACACTCAAAGCCTGCTTGAAGTGAGCTCAAGCAGACACATCTTTTGTACTCGTAAAAAATTCAGAATCTCAAGCTCAAGGTGCCCACGAGCGAGCATGTGGATTTTTTAATCCCTATATAACCCTGTTTAAAAAAATAAATAAAAAAATTTAATAGGGTTTTTGTTTTTTAGACACAAGGAAAACAGAGATATTCCTAGGGCAACCGTAGTCCCTCCAACGGCCTCTAATGCCTAAGAAACCTAATCTTTATATACCGCGAAGAAAACCTGATTTCATATTTGCATAAGAACTAATCTGCAAAATTCTTCTCTGGTTGTTTTAGAAAACCACATATGGTGCATATCACACTTTGAGGTGTGTGAGAGGTCATGACATGGCCTTTTGGTAAACTGGACTGTGCAAGAGAATGTACCGTTCAAAACTCTTTAAATCTTCATTGATCAGTTTTAGCATAAAGAACTTCTCCCACTCCTTCCAACTGAGAAAATAAGTAGATGAATTAATTCTTGTATCTAATCAATTGAAAGTTATAAATAAATAAATAAATAAAAACCATCTTTACAAGATTGAATTTCAGGCAGGGATTAGGCTTGTGTGGCTTGTATTTTGATGCTCTGCCCACACAATTGTTGTCAAGGTGCCCTGCAGATTGTCAACGGTCACATCCACAGCTCAATTCACTTGAGGAAAAAGAAGATGCCCACCTGGAGGGGTGCTAATTGGCTCACAGCTCATGATAAATTATTTCAAAACTTTGGACCAATGACTTCTGGTATGTTTCATGTTTTGGATTTTCTATTTTATTGAGCAGAGATAATTGCATTTCCATTGATTTATTTTGCTTTTGTGTATTTTTCACTATGATTCATACTTGGGGATGAGAAAAATCTTGGCCTTTTGTTTTTGTTGAGATTATATGATTGTGAATAAATTTGTCACTTCAAATTAATGATGCTTATAAGTTATAACAAAATGAAACGTTAAAAGGTCTTGCTAACACATGCCACCAGGACACAAGAAAAAGACAGAAAGGAGAAGAACATGAGACACTTTTTACTGAATTCAAAACATTTTTTACTAAAACTTTCTAATTTTTTCACCTCATTAGCATTTGCCAATGTTAAGTATACTATGTACCATATATCATGTATTGATGCATTTGTACACATGCATTCATATTTTTGGACTGAACCATCTCTTATTGAGTGAGTTACATAATTAAATAAAAAAACACAATAGATGAATGTTTACAGAGACGGATTTAGGATTTGAGGTTTGAGGGTGTAAAAACACATGTAACTTTTCATCAAAAAAAAATTATTATAAAATTTTAAATTTTGGTTTATACCAGCACAAAAAAACAAAAGAATAATATTACTATTATTCGGGCATTCTTTGTCAACATAATTGAGAACAAAAATATAATTGGACATATTTCTAGTCTGCATTAACTTAACAAATATTATTTATTACTATGTCTCCGTCTAGTAAAATTAACTATTTAATAATGTTGTAATCGCCAATTTTTATAATATATATAAAAACATCTATGATAAACTTGATATCAAAACTTTAATTAATATCTTTTTCAATAAATATGATCAAATAATTTGTTATAAAATCATCTTCCATCTTATTACGCAGTTTAGTTTTGAAAAAAAATTATAATTGAAAATGTATGTTTTTGTGTGTATAATGATAATCTATTTCAATAAGCGATATTAAATTTATTTGCTTATGCATCTTATTTTGCATTCATTTGTGTTTGTTCATTCTCTAGAAAATAAAAACACACTACAACAAAGACACACTTTAGTGGCATGTTTTTAGAAAATGTTACAAAAATAATATTTGGTGGGACGTTTTTTAAAAACGTCACAAAGCCATAAACATAAAAAGTTTTAGTGACATTTTAATAAACAAGTACAACATATAAATAACATATAAACAGAAAATAAAAATAGTAACAAATAGAAACAAATAAAAGTATACAAGTAACTTTAAACAATATAGAAATATAACAAATAATACATATAACAAATTGAATAGATCAATATTTGATGAAACTCAATTTAGATATTATTTTTAAAATTTTGTAATGTAAATAATTTGGAAGGTGCAAACTACTGAAATTTTGGAGTGCGAAGTATTCTAGTTTGAAATTTTCTTACTAATTACTACTATAATATACATAATTTTTAAAAAATTTGGAAGTGCGACCGCCCTGCAACCCTAGATCCATACTTGAATGTTTAGAATCGGTAATTCCATTATAGAAAGTAAAAGTAAAACTCTAACGAGGATGAAGAAGGATCCAACTTAGCCAACTTGAAACCTATTCTTGAATTACAGAGAACTCTATTAATCTATTGACATACATATATTTTTACTTTCTATTAGGTAAGAAAATGGAAATACATATATCAAAATGGATCTCATCCGAACACACACGGGCTATATTATTCTCTAATCCATGCATTTTACCTCACTAAGAACTAACCTCTTTTCTCTCTCTCCCAGAATCTCTAGCGAAGAACACACGACCATAAGAGTGATGATGAGTTCCTACATCAAGATAGCGTAGCGCATGCTATCGTTAACCATGAGATGGTTCATCTCCGATATGCGAGCCAACTCACTCGACACCCACACTCCATCAGCACCATTGACGTGAGGATGAGAAAGGCAGGAGAAGAGCGAGAGTGGAGCCCGAACAGCGCTGCAAATGACCGAAAACACACTCCAACCTGACCGTCTTCTATCCATCCCGCGTCCAAACATTGGCAATTCAGCTCCATTCCCATCACCAAACATGGTCTCGTCAGCCACCCGGGGACTCTTCCTTATGTTCTGGACGTTTCGCTTCATCAACTCCAGCATACGACGCATATCTATCTCTGGAAGAGGAAGATGAGAGTGTGCTTGCAGCTTGCACTTGGGTTAGTATTTTGAAGAGATGGGTTGGGAGGCTTAGCTTGATATATGGGTTGTTGTGATAAATGGGGATGTTTGTTGTTGATGGTGTTGATAGTGCTAGTGCTTATCGCAAAGGTTTATGGGTGGTGCTTTTTCTCAGGACTTTCACTTGTGCATTTTTTTTAAAAAAAAAATTTGATTTAAATTTTTTTTTTCTTCTATATTTGTGGGGTCTTTCAAAGGCCAACTTGCCGACAAAGCTGCCTAATTTTGCACAAAGAGCTTTGTGTATTGGAATATTTGAGCCATCTCTTTCACTAGATTTAGCAAAATACTCGAGAAATTTATGGTACTAGTGTAACCCATCTGAGTACAAATTAATGGAAGACAATACGGTTTTGTGTGGATTCAACAATAGAGTGGGCCTCATTTGCTGGGACTGTGGGACTCATCCCATGTGAGGGGTGGTAATAGTTTGGGTAAATTGGTTACCGATGATAAACGAATCAAATAGTTCGAATTTGATTCATATTCAACTTGTTAAAATTGCGTTTGAGTTTAGTTTGTTAAATAAATAAATCAATTTTAAACTTATTTTGGAGTTCATTAAAATTTTCAAATTAAGTTTAAATAGTCAATTGTTCATTTGACTCGATTTAATAAGTTTAAAATTATATAAAAATATTAAACTACTCAAATTGAACTTGCCAAAAATTTGTTCGAGATTAGCTCAAAAAATTAACAATTTAAGTTTGAACAAAATTTGAAACTCATTAAAATTGTTTGGCACGTTTGGTATTGATTCTCCTTTTTTGATTAAATTTAAAGTCAATTCTTTTCATTTAAAATTTATTTGTCTAAATAGAGCCTAAGTTGGAAAAATTATTAGTTGGTAGCAGGTATCATGTAGTCATACCCTAGGCCAATCACTAACTCCCACATCTCCTCATGTTCCTTAATCACTTAATACGAAATTGTAAATTTCACTCTTTTCACCCATCACAATTCATGTGGAGTGCCACGTGGCCAACCCTGGGTGAACTAATAACTTCTCACTAAGTTGGTTTGAAGATCTTCAAGCTGGAGTGACTAGAACAAATCAACTTGATCATCTCTTGTATTACCAGAAAACGCTAATTCTCTAGTGAATTACGTATTGGTACGTCCATTCCGAAATAAGATACACTTTCGTTTCAAAATGATAAATTTAGTAGTCTGAAACGATCCCAAAAGTTTTTCTCAATATATTTCCTTAAATATTACCTTAGGAGGAAAAATATCAAATACAATAACTAAAATCTAAGATAAATTAAGTTTTAACAAGACAAAATATATATATATATATATATATATTTTATTAGATGCCGAATAGTTAAAACAAAATTATTTTTAAAATATTTTAAATTTTGTAATGTAATACATATAACTTTACTTATATCATATCACATTTTAAAACATATAATATACCACATTCTTATTTCACATACCAAAACAATGCACATTCCAACATAAATCATCCCTGGAATCCAAATCGTTTGATTAGGATTCTTCTCCCTGACATGTTTCGCTCTCTATAACAAATTGAATCACCTTTTAAGTGCGTTACTTTATCCTGTGTAATGGTTTTGTATATGATTTTTATTTTATTTTATTGTTATTTAAAAAAAAAATCAACACAACAACAAGTTATGATAACTGGAGTTTATAATTAAAGTAAAATAATATTAAAATATTAGATATTTTGTGAATCGCATATTTTAAAATAACATGACATGACATGGCTTTGTTTTAATTTTAACCACAAACAAATAAATTGCCATAATGGGAAATTTTGATCCAATGTGATTTTTAAGTAAAAAATTATCACACATATTTTGAACACCACGTGATTATTATTTATTATGTACCTAAATAATGAAAAATACAGTAATGATGTATTCTCGTAATTTTAAAATTTTAATGATGTGATAAGAAAAAAAAAGTCAAAAATTACCATCACTGTAGGCTCTACACACTTGTTTGGACGAACTAGATAAGGGGGGATTGCAATCCATCGGACAGTTAGTCTTGAGATACATTGTCCCTGGCCTATTTAGTTGGATTGGATTTTGTTTAGTTATAGGATTAGATGTCTGGATTGTAAGGGTGGGCGCGGGTCGGTTGCGGCCACGGAACCTTCGATTCGCCATCCGTCCGTCAAATTGGCGAATTGGAGAAAATCAATCCGCATTCGTCCGCCAATCCGGCGGATATGAATTAAGCGGATTGATGGTTTGGTAGATGGATGCGAATCGGTTTGGTGGTTTAAAATTTTATAAATTTTCAACATAATTCAACTTGTTCACTTTCTCAAAAAAAGAAGAAGAAAGTATTACAGTCAATGACTTAAAAAAAATATTACAATCATTACATGCCTCATCCAAAGTAAGAAAGTTTGAAATTTTAGAATATCACAATCACTTCATGCCTCATCTACATACTACAATCACAACATGCCTCATCCATATAAAGTATTACAATCTGTGGTTCTTAAAATATAAAAATAATTCAAACCACCAAAATCATGAACAGAGCACTATATCTGTTTTTGAAAACAAAAATCAATCAACATATATCATATTTTCTATTTATTATTTTTAGAGATAGATTTAAAAATAAAAAATATAGATAAATAATACGTTTATTTTTTTCAATTTAAAAAAGATATTCAAGTTGAAATTCTTTTTTCAACAGAATATTTAAATTCTTTTTTAATTGAAAACACAAACAGAATATTTAAACAAACTGAAAACACAAAATCTTATAAATTATTAGGGGTGCTCGCGGTTTGGCTGTTCGGTTGCTGCCAAAGGAATCTCAAATCCGCCATCCGTCCGCCAGATTGGCGGATTGGAGAAAATCAATCTGCAACCGTCCGCTCGTCATCATGTATCCGTCCAAAATGAGGCGGATCGGTTCGGTTCGGTTCGGTCAGTTTTGGCAGATCGATATATCCGCTGCTCACCCCTTGGATTAGACTATTCTATTGAATCTCATGTTTGTTTGGAATATTATAGAGAATGATAAAAGCTCAAAAGACTATTTTGCCCTTTTGAATTATTTACTAAATAATAGGAATATTAAATTTGAATTATAAATTTTATTTAATTTTTTTACTAGAACTTTTAAAAAATTAAATAAATAGAATATTAATAAAAATTACATAAATTTATTTTAATTTGTAGTTGAGATTTTTAAATTTTATGACTATTTTAATTACACTCAACAGATGTTTACAATCCACAAAAAAAAATATTTTCAATTTCTATCATTTTTTTTTAAAACAAATTAAAAGTATTTGATTAAATTGAGTACATACAACACAACATAGATTGATTTTCAATTTGAGTACATACAACATAAATTGATCTTGATTAGTTATCAGGATACATGTAAAGATGAGGCTAGTCAGATTTTGTTTCTGTAAACAGAGCATAAATTTTTTCTTTTTGGAAAAAAAAAAACAGAGCATAGATTTTTCTGTAAGGAAAAAAAAAAGATATTAAATACCAGAGGTCAAAAATGTAATTTCATTAACTAATCCCATGGGATAAGTTATCCCATGGTTTCTATCTCACTCCCCTCCATGAGATACAACAGTCCCACAAATATGAGACTAATAATAGTCCGGAGCAAAACTTTTGAACCAAACAACGGACTATTAGTCCATCCGGACCAATAGTCCAATCTCATGCCCAATCCTTCAAAACAAACACTACCTTAGGGTGTGTTTGTTTGGACGGACTGGATGATGGGAGATTGTAATCTATCGGACTGTTAGTCCGATGATGTATTGTTCCCAGCCTATTTGATTGAATTGAATTTGTATCCTATATTTGTTTAGTCATGTGATTAGATATCTGGATTAGACTATTTTATTAAATACTATTTTTGTTTAGTCATGGGATTACATGTTTGGATTGAACTATTCTATTGAATCCAATATGTATCATATTTTATTTAACTTTTTTACTAAAACTTTTAAAAAATTAATAAATAGACCATTAATAAAAATTATATAAATTTATTTTAATTTTTAGTTGAGGTGTTTTTAATTTTATTTTAATTTGAACTTTTAAATAAATAAATTGAATTTTTAAAAGGGGATTATAATCTATTGGAGTGTTTAATTTAAATTTTAGTTGAAATTTTTAAATTTTATTTTACTTTACTAAGTATATTTAAAAATAATATAAATAAAAAATTGAAAACAAAAAATGAGAGCCAAAAATGTTATTTTAACCTTCAAATTCTGGGGAGTTATCCCCCATCCCCCGTGGGACAAAATAATTCCACAAATAAACGATTAATAGTCCAATCGGACTATTAGTCAAACTTATATTTTTTTAACCAAACGTCGGACTATCACATGCAATGGACATGGAGTCTTATTCCACACTCTAATCCTTCCAAACAAACACCCCTAGAGCTCCTAAACATTTTTCTAAAAATACTAGACGGAGAACCTAGAGACAGTAGGAATTGATAGGAGAATCAATACCTATATTTTTTTGAATACAAGTATGCTTTGGAAAATGAATTTATGAACAATACACATAATCAAATTGATCTACAATAGTAGATTTCAAATTTAAAAAATATATTAATTCAATTCAAATTACGAACTCTGTTATTTTAAACTTTAGAAAAAATATATATATATATATATTATTAGTACATTTTGAAAATATGTGAGTAAAATCTGACTCACATTCAATGTCTTCCATTGGTCTATACTCTCTATCTGTGTGTATATATATTATGCAATATATGCATGTATTTTAAACATATACAAATGGAAATGAGTATGAAACTTGAACTAAGACAAAGACACCAAGTAAGGACTATTTTGGGAAGATAATTAAAAGTCATCTTTTAATTTTTAACTTATTTTGAGTCATATCACCTCTTTATCTTTTTACACGTTTTTCAAAAAAAATCAAAAAAATCAAAAAATTAATTTTTAATCATCTTTTGAAAATAATCATAAATTATCAATCTCACAAAAGGGTATGAACCTCATATGATTTATTGGGTAATTTGATTGATGTCTTAATTTTTTTTGTTTTTTGTTTTTTTTTTTGGTTAGTGATACAGACCCCAAAAGTGAAATTCATGTCAAATAGTAGACATAAAGAAGAAAAAAGATACTGATAAAAATAAAAATAGAAAGAAAACAAAATTCTCACTCTCCTTTTAGCATCTCACACCCCATTAAAAGAATAAAAAATATAAAAGTAAATAAAAATAAAAAAGAGTGGAAGAGGTTAAAAGGGATAGTATTGTTTATGTTAGAGTTTCGCAATTGCTTTTTGGGTGCTCATGCCACAAATTTAAATTTGAATTTTCTTTGTCGGTAAGTTCAAGCACTAAAATAC